CTCAGCTGCAGCTCTAGTGCTTCATCAGTATACTATACGAATCTTACAAAACGGACCTATCGAGAACAGTGGCGTGGCGAAGGATATTTTTTGGGGCAACCGCCCCTAGTAAAATTCAGTTTAGGTCACCCAGTGGTGATATTGAATAGGTATGAACACTAAGAACAGTAAGACCACCATGAACAAAATATATATATAATTGGGTACCTATAAACCTATAACTGGGTACCAAAAAAATGTATTCGCCCCTACATAAAAATCTTGTCGCCACGCCACTGATCGAGAATGTCGAAAAATGTATTCCTTGCAGAGGAACAGCCCAACTTGTGAGTTGTGCAAAGCGGCTGCACAAGAAGTGCAATTCGACACAAATTCAAGTTCATAATTCATTATTTATTATATGTATTTTGTATGTGACTTTAGTTTATCAATTGACAAAGTAAACAGTTTATAAAATATTAATTAACATATTATAAACATATTTATACTTATTCGCCGAAAGTCGAAACGGTATATTTTGTGGAATAAACACAATCGGTAAATAACTATTCACTCAAACTCACCACATTTTGGGTCGATTCATCCAAACGGTCTACGCCCATTTTTTCAACAGTTTTTTTGTTTCATAAGAAGATAGTGTGAGGTTATTCAATAAACATTATTTCCAACAAAAAAACGGTTGTAAAAATACTATAGTTGCGTCACATAGGTCATATACATAACTCCGAAAAAAGGTCTAATCAGAATTGTGACCTGATTAATATTTACCACGGTTTTAGAAAATAGAAGATCTTCTATAAGACTATCATGTACGCATATATAATAAACAATTAAAATCTTATCAATACAAGTCTCATGTAAGGCTGTAGGATATACACATACACACATTACGTAAAATAATATACCCGTCCTACCTAGGTACTCATTAAAATATTTATTATTGACTCATTAGGCGTGATAAGCAAAATAACAGTAGGTATCGAAGTACAATCAGTCGTGAGTGTCAGATAAACCACGGTGTAAACAAGGTGCACCCATCGCTTTAGAAATTCAGAATAGGGCTCCTGCAAGTGACCAAAATATCATAACAGCAGTCTTGTAAGATATTTGAGTGGTTAATGTATATAAATACTGTCTTGGACGTATTGGTAATAAAATCTTTTGAACAATTTTTAAAAGTTTTTAAAAATCTTTTAGAACTTTTCTGCTGTTATGACAACCTATGAGGTACCTTTCAGTATTACATTTTCTATTTATTTGACAAGTACGATTTTTTTCATCGATAATTACAGGAAAAAACAAAAACAATTCAAATGCATATAACTATAAATAGCTCAAAAAGATACGAAATATTTTAAGAATGTTGTCATCAATATAAAATGATAAAATAAATGTTAGTGAAATTTCAATTATTATGGGTTATTCGTTTTTGAATTACAACCAAACAAGAAAATCATTCCATGAGAAATCGTTATTTTACGCATGAATATACATGTCGTAATTATTATCAATTTTGACCTCTATAAAAAGTACCAACTAGGTAGATCCAATTTTTTATCAGAAACCACCTTCATAGTTGATAATCAAAGTATTATTTAGACTGCTTATCGTGAAAACAGAAGAATTAAAAAAAAATAAAACACACATCATTGTAAAACTAATACATTCACCGCTCTGTTCAGAATCTAAAAGAATTTAATTACATGCCAAATATTTGTATTAATTGTAATTAAATAATTTTTCTTAAAATATATAATTATATTATAAAAGAATAGTTTGCCTCGTGCAGATGACTAAACAATGAATTAGACCTACATAATAATATTATATGGATTGTTTGGACAGCTAAAAGTTTATTTTAAATTGTATACATATTGTAATTAAGTAAAAATAATTTGTTTTTTTTCTAACAAGTGCCGATATTATTTTATTTTCACCAGGCTCCCGGATTTTAAGATCTGGAACTGGTAACAGTGGTAATATTTTAAACAAACTAACATAATTATCCATATTATAATATTATATAACATTAGAGTTGTAAACCTTAATAAGCTACATTTTTTTTTTAATTTCCAGTAAATTAATTTATGAGGAATATTCGATTTAAAATTTAATTAATTCTGTATTACAAAATAGTTTACGAATTTTCGTGACTTTAATGAATTTCGTAAGAAACTGAACTTTAAGAAAACTTAAAAGGAATGATTTAAAATTCATTAAACGTTTAAGTATTTTATTAGCAAACAAAAATTGTAATCTAGTAATTTGGGCAAGTATAGTTATCCGCTATGGTGTAAAGTAGGCGTTGAGTTTACCTCGTCATTGAGAGTAGGTCGTTGTTTTAGATGTGTTAAATTAAAATTAAATGATAAATCACTGTACACAAAAAACGATTCTGAGCGGAGATCCTCTGGCGTCTGTCAACCTATGTTACTAAGTATATTTGATTGTATATTTATTGCAATTATAGTAATTTTGGTAAAGTTGAATTTATTTTTGCTAAAACATAGCATTTACAATATATACTTATTTATGTTGTATAGGTACACTCGCATGCATTATTGTTGTTAACCTGCATGTCAAACCGTATTATGGTGTGAATAAGTTCGTGGTATATATATAATGGGCAATAGCTTAAAATTAAACTAAATATTTTGAAAATGTCAAAGTGCTTAGTAAAATATAATAACACACGCAAACGATTTTTAGTCTCTATGAATAGTATTTTTGAATTACAACAAAATAATTAAGGTTATTCTTTGATTAAATATCAAATCTCTTCAAAATTTGAACTCCAAATGTCTATAAAAACAATTATTATGATTTTATGTTTTGAGTAAACGATTACACAAATCATAGAGAATAATATTTTTTAGTGTAATGCCATATCGATATGACGTCTAAACATTGTCTCAAAACAATTTAATATAGCCACATTAAAATACAGTTTTTTAATAATAAAGTCGATATGTCAAATTCTTAAAATTATTGTCATCTAGAATTTTTTTTTAAATATAAGTGATTTTACTCTGAGATTACTCAAAAATTATAAAAAAAAATCGATTTTACGGAATGCGTTTTATCTATGTTGCGTTTTTGTCCTAGGTAGATAAACAATATTGCGTCGACTTCCTCTTAATTTGTGTTATTTACCTATATTGACTCACGTCATCAAACTCGTCCAAATCTAAATCGAATAAGGCCTGGGCTATAAACAAAGAAACGGTATTATCCTGCGTATAATACCGCAAGCGAATCGGAAGTTATCGTCGTATTGATTTGTGTTTTGCGCCGACATAGCTTCCAGGCAATTATAGGCAGGTATAAGCAGCAGCATACCATTACCTATATTATAGTTGCAAGCCCGCAATTACTGGAGTCTCACGAAGAAGGTAGAGACGACTCGCAGAGCAACGGCCAACGTAGCGCAAAAATAATTAATAACGACACGATATTATTATAATATATATAGACGCACGAAGGCGTGTGATAAATACAACGTATATAAAGCTATGAGTAATACCATACCTCTTGGAACCTGCAATATTATTATGCACGTCGAATATGATGTTGCGACACACCTTTTTTTAGAAAGCTGTGAACCCCTGACTACGGATATACATGTACATTGTGTACATTACAAATTGTAATTTACAATAGAGGTACACGTGTGTGCCTTCGAACAGATTTTTTTTTTTTTTTTGTGAGACTAGTGACGACTCCTATGCGCACAACGTCTTGTCCAGAACATTTGACACTGTCGTCCACAGCCTTTTAGATATGGGACCGACGCCGCAAAAACTGACCGTCTACAGGCGTAAAAAATGTTGCCATCTGCGGATATATATTACCTATGATGTATTATTATAGTTGAAATAATCATCGTACCGGCTTTTATAAAACATGAAACACGAGATAATTATTATTATTCATGACCATAACATTATTTCTATACACAGGAACGTGGAATACAGGAACCGCGATAAATAACGAACAAATCGAAGTTTTATGTTTGTAATAAATTGTATTATAATATGATTGAATTAAAAGCTAAGTAATAACTCAAGTAATCAATATATACCCAAACAATATAAATCATTTAATAAAAGAAAACAAAAGAGAAAAAATAATAATGTACAAAGACGATAAAAGCGCAAAGGTACGCCGTGGGTTTATATAAATATTATATATATAATAATAATATTTTTTATTGAATATAATTTATATGCGTAGTCCTTATAGTATGTTTTATACAAATATGATATTATATTGTGTTGTTTTTTTGGATATAATACAATGGACTACTTCATAATATTTCTATATAGGATTCCAGTCAAAATCCACCCGGTCATATAATAGAGCTACATTTAAATAAACATTTTTTGAATTTTTTTTTTACCATAGTAAGATTATATAGATTATATACCTGCTAGAGCTAAACGTCTACATAATATTATAATAATGATAAATACTAAAACCTAGACTACATATTGATAGGATCACAGTCATAACGAAAAAAAAAATAATGATATAATAATAATATAATAATAATAATAAATAATAATAACAATTAGGACTTAAACCTAAACTGTACAGTGTATAAAGAGGGGGGGAGGTTGAGAAAAAACGCACTTTTCCGCGAAACGGAACCTTAGAGTCCCGAGAGATGTCGAATCTATTTGGAATGTGTGTGTCTACATAACGAATTCTCTCTCTCTCTCTCTTTCTATATTATATATTTATACTTGTATAATATCTATTTATTATGCATTTGTATAATATATAAGACATACGTATAATATTTATTATAATATACTTGTATGTTGGACAAACGGTATTCCTCGGTACGGTACTCGTCACTGGCTGCTGCTGCGTGGATGGGCGACGTTTTGTTTATTCTTTTCTGTTTAGTATAATATTATATTGTGTGTTGTGTTCGAAAAAAATATAATAATATATATGATAGTATATCTCTATAATATTATTATCGATTGTTTTGTTTAACAGCTAACGGCCCTCGTGTCTGACGAACTCGACAGCTTGTCTTGTGTCCGAGAAGAAGGGGACATTGTCTGAAAACACAATATCAAACAAAAAAATAAATACACATAATTTCGTAACAAAAATTCATAATAATTGTGTATGGGTGGGGCGGGGGGCATCATAGTGGATAACGATTAAAAATCTACTCGGGTGTCGGAATGGTGAAATTCCCAAAGAGAGAAAGTGCGGGCAAGCGATACCCCGATACCTAACCTAACCGATGTAATATTATAGTGCTACAGTGGTCACCTAAATAATCATGGTGTCATAAGTATAACATTAAAATTTTAATTATTTGTTTTTGAGCGTTTTATGGAGACCGCGACGTCACGGGAAACGGAGTCGCGAATGCCGAGAGGAGTGGAGGGAACGTTTTTTTTTCCAATTGCATTCGAATAATAATATGACCTCAACAACAACTCACCGATTCGGAGGACGATTGCGGCTGTGCGGCCACGGCGACGGCTGCGGCGGCGGCGGCCAGCGCGTTTGGCGTCGATATGATGCCCAGTGGCTGCCGGACAGCGGCTACCGAGGACGAAAGCATGACAGCCGCGGCGGCCGAGTGGACGGCGTCCGCGTTCACCGACCTGTGGTTCTCCAGCATGTCCTCCAGGTCACATATGTAATCGATCACGTGATGGATCACCTCCAGCCGGGATATCCGCTTGTCCTTGGGTATGAGCGGTACCAGATCCTTGAGCTTAGACAAATACTTTTGGATCTTCTCGTCTTCCAGGTCGCCGCGCTTGCGTTGCACGCGGCCGCCGGCTACCGTGGGTACGGTCGAACCACTGTTGTTGTTGCTGTTATTGCTGCTGCTGTTGTTGTTATTGCGGCACATTGGTATGGATTTCATGGTCGCTGTCGTCGAATTGAAGCGAAACGAAACGAAACGAACTCGTGTAAAAAAATATACGCCCGGTGCGCGTAGACGGTCAAAAACTGTAGAACGCGACGAAAAAAACACACACGAGAGCACTGTGCGCTAAACGGCGACGATTTGATATTTTTTTTAAGATTGTTATGAGTGATTTTTACAGTCGATCGATTCTTCGCTTTTAGACGATAATAATAAAATAATAATATTATTATTACGATTACAGTCACAAACGTGATCAGAAAGCGGAGAACGGTGTACTGCAACTGCGGCGGCCGGTCCGGGTCGGGTGGTATTTATAGAGCTCGGCGGTGGGTGGGGGGAACGTTAGAGGAGGCCACGCCCGTCGCGGCGGCGGCGGACGAGATTGAATGGATTTCAAAGAGACGCGCTCGGCGGCGCTCGTACGCACAACAACCGCCGCCGCCTATACAAAAACGACGACGACGACTACGACTACGACGCGCACACCTGACACCTGCCTCGGCGGCGGCGGCGGCGGCCACCGAAAAATACCACAGAGGATTTTTACCCCTCCCCCACCTACCGCCGCTCGTATACCCGGTTATCTCAAAGAGCGGACCGGACCGAACGGGCTAGTTGGCGTGGGAACACCAACTGGTATATACCGCATCCACCTATATAATATTATACCATTATAAACATAATATACGTATATATATGTGTGTGTGCACGTGTACGGCGAAGCTGTACTATGTGTGTGTGTGTAGATGAGGCTCTTCTCTACATAACGTATACGGTTTTTCTCATATTATTATTATTATTATATATATAAACATTTTTTTATTTTTTTATTAGATTATTATGATCCGATTTAATACAAGACGAGGTACAGTGTGTGTGTGTGTGTGTGTGTGTGTGTGTGTGTGTGTGTGTGAAGTTGCCCCTCAAGTCACTTTTACTTGTGTACTGCACCGCCGCCGGTGTTATGCGAATTCGACCTTCGTCCGTGTATTATAATGTACATTATAATAATATTATAAATGTATGAGATATTATATGGTTTTTTTAGGTTTATCAATTTTTAATGTACATAGTATTATATTATGTGACTCCTTAAATATGTAGGTACCCCTGCAAGTAATAAAACAAAGATTTTTTTAGAATTTAAAATATTTTATCGTCAAATCGATTTTTAATTGTTCGGTTGAAATATGTTACATAAATAGAAATATTAGATTACTTATTATGCAAAAAGCCACTATCGTCTAACATACATTATAGTTGTATATTATATGGCTATATTATATACAGATTAGATTATTGATATATTAAGTATAAACTATGTTTGTGCATTGAAATAATCGGTAATTGGTTTAATGTCATTTTATATGGTTTAATTTTCAAAACATTAAATTTATTATTTAAGTAGGGACATCAATAACTTAATAAAAATAATATACTTCTACATATTTTTTTTTTGTATCTTAGAAGTTATTATTACAACAATTTTTTTATCAATTTTTTGTTCGAAGTTTCGATGAACATGTTAGGGCGTAGACACTACAGTACTCAGACTTCAGAGTGTAGTTTGTATAAAACAATTAATGTATACATTTGTAATGCTCTTTTAATTATGGCATTAAAAGTTAAATTTGTCAACAAATTAAAAAAAACATATTGGTAATCAGTATCGCCTAGTAATTTATTAGTTCCCACTTAGGTATCGTTTTTATGTAATTACGTTTCAAAGCGTCTACAGAACAAAAACATGACACAAATTATAAAAATGTATGTTTTAAAATCCCAGCCCTAATAATATTTAATGGATAGGACATAGGTATACTAGAATAGTAGAATACTATAGATAATAATTATAAATACATATTATATATTATATTATATAGATTCCTGTGAGTTTTTCACCACATTTGCATGTCATACTATTATTATTTTGTTATCAGTGCATTACGTATTATTTTATGCATAAATTATCTTTTATTACATTGCTTATAAATTATAATTATAATTCATAAAAATATTCATTATTAACTTTGAAAGTTTAAATAATTATCAGTTGTTATTAGTTATTACTTATTACCATGTCTATACTCCATGGCACCATGTCTTCATATATATATTTATATTATTATGTTTATTTTTAATATTATCGCATATTATATTAGAATATTATATGTACGTCATTTTCTAGAAATATTCAAGAGTTCACTAAACACAATATTGTACGAGGAAACCCTGTCTCGCTTTTTCATAAAACATACCTACAACCATTACAGCCTAAGTATTTTTCCGACATCGGAATCCAATTGAAACGTTAATGCAAAAATTATATTTTACTTCGAATCGCTAACCTTTTATTTCGTTGTGAAATACTAGGTATACGTCCTATACTTTATACTATGTGTAATAATGCAATAATGAGTACGACTATTACATGTAGACTCCTATAACATAATAATATATAATATACATTTTCCTTGAGGTGTATAGATGCGTATAATATATTATACAGTAATTATTTGCATGCGAGTTGCATTATAACATTACTCGGAAGCGATAAAACAATAACAAATTTCAACGTACGATATTCATGACTGACCATGAGAGAATATAACTAAACTACTATAATTAATAATTATACTTAAGAGGACGCTACATTTGTTTTCTCTCTCTGACACACGAGAAACGTACCAAATTTAAGTTCAGCAGAACCAACCCCATATGTTGTTAGAGTGAATTCCCCTATTACAAAAACTTAAGAGCATTACCTGTGTCGCTACGTTGTCTATTTCATGATATTATACTATTGTTATGTAAGTCTGAAGTTATGAGCTTGTAAGTAATTCCAGTTTAAAAATGCTAATAAAATATTGTGAGAAAATTAAAATATCGTTAAAAACAGTGACACTGCCACACAGGTTATGTTCTTAACTTTAAGTTTGATAACAGGTGAATTTACTCTAATATTAAAATAGTAACAAGACAAGGTTTGTTCAACTAAACGTGTAAATGAACTATGTTGCACGTGGTTCAGAGAGAGAAAACAAATGGTGCTTAACTAAATTGTATATTATCATCATTGCACGCACACAATAGGCACAACAGCTCATGATATCTTATACATTACTACCGTCTGTAATATTTGTAGGAGGATTCCAAAAATTTTGGAAACAATTTACATAGTATGTAGAGGCAGGTGTCTCGAACGCGTCAAACTCGCATTGGATTGCTGTGGACGATATGGTTTAGATTTAAGTATACCTAGGTATTATGTGCTGCAGTTTTTATAACATAATATTTCTACTCAGAATGTACCCATAATATAAATACGCGTCATGAAAATCACACAATATATTCATTACATAATATTATAATTCGTCCAATCGTTATGACTTATAATATTATTGTAATATACTATACCTAGGTGCCTATTTAGTATTTACACCAAACTCCAGTCATCATGTACACTTTTATTAGTTATATTTATTGTGTATAATGCACAATATACTCAATAGTCAGTACTGCTTAATGTTAATCTCGACCGAGTTATGAAATAATATTATTGTTCTGCAGCGAACAAGACGTATAATATTGATTTTATTGTTGGGTGCTTTTATGTTGCAATTTATATAGTTTATTGTTTATACGTATGCGTAGCGAAACAATATCGATAGTAAGTTATTCGTTATTGTAATGATAATATAATAGTATCGGTACTATGCGGTTTGTTGAACTCGTACCTATGCGTATAATATATTTTATCGTATTATGGATGGCTTATCGTCATAATATAATATGTTATCAGAGTTAATATTATCGTATATAAAATAGTTTAGGCTATAGTTAATCTTAATGTATATGGATACTTATGACATAGTCGGTATGGTACAGGATATAATAGTATATGTGGTATTTTTAAGTGCGTTTCTTGTGAATAAGTTTAAAAATATTACTATTTTAAGCGTTTTTTTTATAAATTATACTATACCATTATTTGAAATAAAATAAAAAATCAGAGTTCGATGTGGCCTGTAGGAAGTCTTCTTCTTTCAGATAAAAAATAATTATCAAAATCCGGCAATTTTACATGGCCTGAGAATTATTCCCGTGAAATCATTATTTTCGATATGATACTCCACCTTCCATAAATAGGTATCGGGTAGTAGATTAGTGAAAAAGTATTTTGAAAATAATTAAAATTAATAAATACAATTTTTCAAATTGTATAGAATTGCGGAAAATTTGAAAAACTGGCACTGGGCCCCTTATAATTAACAAAAATATAGAGTTTTCGATTTCAATACATTCTAGATCATTGACGGTTTTAAATATTTTTAAATATATAAAATATTAATATTGGTGAAAATTGTGATTCTTTTTTATATCTATGGTGCATATATAGGTATGTAATATTATATTCAATAGGTACATATTATATATTGTGAGATCCCTCCCACCACTCCAACGAATAGTCGAAAAACACTGTTTTTAATTTGGATTAAATATGCACGCGAACATGATTTCAACAATTCTCCCCTTGTGCGATGCAGCTTCGGGGTAGACATACATAAATAATAATATGTTATATTTATATTTTATAGTATCAGTTTCAGCAATTATTGCAGCCATAGTATATTAGTGTGTGTATGCTGTATATACATATAATATTGTACCTAACTGCGAGACGTGTTAGATATTATTATATTGTGATGTTGTAATATATGTGCGGCGCACCCGTCGCCGTCTTCGGAAATTTACGGTGTCCAAATAATGACGACGGAGACACGTGTTTTTTCCTCTTTACATAATATAATATATTTTTATCTCGTGGAATATGCTTGCAGAGCAGCAGAGGATGAAGAAAAAACACATTTTGACGATCTCTGCAGCAGCAATGCACACGTGACATGGCAAAATGATTTCTGTACATATCACGTTTACGAAATCCCTTACAAGGGAAAACGACCGACACAAACAACGAGTAGACCAGAAAAAAA